AGTGGGGAGAATGGCAGAGGCGTACAACAGAGTGAGGGCGGACGGGGGAGCACGGGTAATGCTAGCCAAATGGATGCGCTTCCACCATTTTTCTGCTGGAGCGCGCCACTGCGTCTCTGCCGTCGCGCCTGGTCCAAGCCAAACACCCAGATACTTGACGACATCCGACACCTGGAAACAACGCCAACCCTCACACACCGACCCGAGATCCTGAGTCGTTTGGCTTCGGACTTCAGCGGACAGAGGGGCCCAAAGTGGGACCGCGACACATTTCGATGCTTGCAAAGCTAGGCCGGCCAAGCGTTCAGCAAAGCAGAACGTCTCAGCAATCATGCGCAGCTGTGTCACACAGAGAAGAATGAGCCCTATATCGTCGGCACAAGCACGTACCACTCCGTGGTCGAGTGACGGGAAAGGTCTGTGGAGATGTCGCAACAGAGGGTCCATGCAAAGAGCCCACAAGCTGCCAGACAGAGGGCAGCCCTGCAGAACGCCACTGGCCAGCTCACACATCGGGGTGAGAGGCATGTCACCAAAACGAGCGAATGCGATGGGAGCATGATACAGCGCGCTGATAGCCCATTGGACACCGAGGGGGACGCCATAGTGTGCCAGGACTAGCTCTAACCATCGCCTGTTCAGACTAGGAAACGCTGCTTTGAAGTCAAAGGAGAGAAGGAGAGGCCTTCGCTCAGAGCCATGCTCGAGCCAGCCAGCACGCCTCGCCTCTGCATCAAGCAGGGGTATGTTGCCCACAAAGTTACGACCAGTGATATACCCCTGCTGGCTGCAGTGCACCCTGGCTTCCACCAAGGGCTTCAAAGTGAAGTTGATAGCCGAGCTGATTGCCTTCACATCACTGTTCTTGAGACTCAAGGGGCGGAGGTCCTGACAACGCCGAGTAATCCGAGCCGCATCCGACGCTTCTTCTCCCTTCGGGAGAAAGGCGAACAGTGAGTGATTGGCTTCGTATGGCAAAAACTCGCCCGAGTAAATATGAACCAGAACACGATGTAACACTTCTGTAGCCAACGAATGGGAGGTCCATGCTGCGTATGGGATCCTATCAGGTCCAGGAGCACTCGGCTTAGCCCGCTGTATGGCGTGCGCAAGGGCTGCTACACTGGGAAGAGGAGCATCAAAAGTAGGGGCAGGGGGGGGGACAGAGTGCAGGAAGCGAGAGATATCTTCATCACATGCTTCTTGTGCTGCAAAGACCGGCTGCCAATGCTGCTGGACAGCCTTGAATATTCCTTCGTCATTGCAAACTGTGACCTCTGATGCTGTGGGATCGTCATGCACGTGCACGCGCACACCTTCGAGCCTGATCTGACGCGCCCATGGTGTCCACAAGCGTGCACGCCGAGCAGCTTTCCGTTCGATCTTGCGTTGAAAGAAAGCATCCTTGTGCCTGCCGAATTCATCATACTGTGAGGCATTTGCAGATGCGAGAAGGGCACGGAGCTGGTGCCATTCATCATTGGCTGCGTCGCATTGCGTGTGGAAGGCGGGAGGAGAGAGAAGACCGACAGTGCCCTCAGAGACGACGAGATGAGAGGCAGCGAGAGGAGAAGTAGCGATGAGGCGAGATGCCGTGCACACATCATTCCGCCATAGTGCGCGTGCCATGGACCGAAACAGATACATGCGTGTGACGGGGGCATCAGGATGGGCCTGCCTATGGTACTCTGGACCTTGCAGCTTGTCTCGCGTGAGAGCGGCTGCTTCATACATTACATCTTTGATTCCCTGCCAAGCACGAATGGTGGGCAGTTCGTCGAAATCAGTGTGAGAGATCATGCAGGCAAAAATAGTACGAAATTCTTCAGTCCTAAACAGGTACGCTGGGATGGCTCGCTCGATCTGAGTGCGCGGAGCGGACGGCTTGATTTTCAGCATGAGCATGGCGTGGTCAGACAAGCCTCGATCTGAGAGCTGTGTGCTTTCGTGCGCAATCTGAAGAGTGACGTCCAAGAGCATCTGTTGGGAAGCAGGGCCAGCAAGGAAGAAGCGATCGATGCACGAGACCTGCAATCTGTGCGAATCGTACCTAGTTGGGAGATCAGACGTGATCTCCGTGACAGAAGAGAACATGCGCCTCCAGCGAGCCTGCATATGCTGTCCACGATTATCAATGACAGGGAGGTGAGTGGGGGGAAGAGGGTCAGAAGCAGCCTGAAGGGGGGAGCGAAAGGAGCGAGGAGGAGCCTCGGGGATATTGAAGTCTCCCATGGCAAGGAACTTGAACGTCCGTTCATGGTTCCGAGCTAAGTGGACCTGCTCATTCCAAAAACGTTCGACAACAAGCACATCTAAAGCCGAAAGGTTATGATTGTGGATATTCAATATACACATCGTATACTCGTGCGCAGGGGAGGAAATATGCAGAGCGGCCACACGGCCGGGCACAATAGGGAGCAGAACACAGGTTGGCTTCAGCTCAGCAGGAACAGGAAGATGTTGCGGATGACCTGGGACCAAGAAAGCGACACCACCTGCGGCCACGTCGAAGCCAGACATGTAGCAGTTGTATGAGTACGGGGTATCATCAATCAAGCGCTGAAGTCGCAGCTCGTCACCTCGCACTTCTTGAAGTACGATGAGAAATCGCTGCCTCATGTATTCCGATAGTAGACGCAACTTTGACGCTCTCTTGCTGGAATCTAAGCAAAGAAGACTACGGGCATTCCAGCAAATAATTCGAAGACCAGCTTTTGCATCACGAATGTAGGGCTCCCACGGAGCCCAGCCTGTGCTACCCAGACCACTGAACCTCCACTGGCGAGAAAGCCGAGGAGAAAGCTGATTCAATTCTGTCCTTGTCGATGTCGAATTGAGCGGTGGCGTGAAGGTTCCACTTGATTCTGGTGGGTTCATCTTGAGCTCTCGGCTCCAGTTGGCAGCATGGAATACTGTTGACCAAAATTTGATACTGTGCTCTTCGACATCTCCAGGTAAGCGACGGGTACGCATCTTCCAATAGCTTGCACATTCTCTTGGCTTGCACCTCTCCTCTGACCATCTTCGGGCTTTTGTCCGTGGATACATACATGGCGACCATGGCACCCTCTGTAGAAACAACGTTGAAAGACCTCCAACCTGTGGATGTTCGCAGACTTCGAACCAATGCCGTGGCACGAGAGCTAGCTTCCGCCTTGGATCCAAGTACTCTGACCGTGAAACGCCTCGCCACGACATCTCCGACGAGCTCAATCTGATTCCGTTGCAGCTTAGCATCAGCGATCCAACCAGCAAGAGCGTCATTGACAGCCTGCGGAGAGGCAGGAGCGACGACACCAATCGAGAAAATGTGTGGATCGACCGCTCGGTCCCATGTCGCCAGGTTCTCGACATCGAACGGGAGCTGTGCCTCAGCCATGGCGAGTTGCTGTTTGATGGCTTCGACCTCAGAACGCATGACGTCTTGAGCAGCGGCGGCTTTGTCTTGTCTTTGTCGCAGATCCTGGACTTCCCGTGCCTGTGCATCGATGCGCCTGATCGTCTTAGCCTGTTCCTGCACAAATGTGGCACGAAGCTGACTGGCAATTGATTCAAGTTGTGTCGCAGCTGCAGCAGTGGCCGCTGCAGTGGTGGCGACACGAATGGCCTCAGTATCCACACGTACAGCATCACGGAGACGCGCTTCCATTTGACGAAAATCGGCTGGAGCACCTGGTGTGGCAGTGCCTGAAATAGGAGTCGTAGGTGCACGCTGGGGGGGTTCACCAACTGGAGGTTCACCTGCAACATGATGTCCGTCATCAGCTCCACGGGCAGCAGCAGCTGCAGCAGCTGGATGTACCCTGTGAGCCACTTGCCAGGAAACTTGTTCTTGCGACGGGAACGTGGGAACTGTATCCATGGCGGCACTAATCTGGGCTGCTTCTTGAGAGGAGAGCGGGAGCCGTTCCTCAGCAGCACTATCAGCATCACGCCTCCAAGGATCACGCACAAGCAGAGGATCCCCTGGACCAGGGCGGTGTGCGTCGACAGCCGTAGCGGGAGCACCAGCACGCCCAGATCGTCTTTCTCGGCCTCCGCGTTCAGCTTGGGGGACAGAGCGTTCATCGCGTGGGACACGTCGTGGGCGGTCCTCACGACGCCTCTCAGGAGGAGCATCACGATCATGACGAGGTCGCTCTCTCCTTCGATGTTCTTTAGCCGCATCGCTGCGACTGCGATCAGTGTGAGGACGTTCAAAACTTGATGTACTGTCGGACGACAACATCGGGTCAGCAGTGAACTGCCAACCTCCACCGCGGCGCCACCACCAGATTCCACTATGGCAGCATGGGCGGGCGGCCGTCGCGAGGAAAGAAAGAAACGTGATTTATGGAAAGCTATCGTGGCCTCCTGTCGGCCCAGCACGGAAGGCCTGAGCCTTCACTGCAGCAGAGGACCAAGACTAATCAGGTTACCTCGCAACCTCGTTGCTTCCCCCCGTTTAGTCTTGAGCCAAAATGGCTACGGAGCGACGAGAATGAGGAGGAGGAGGAGGAGGAAGAGGATGAGGAATACAGCGACGAAGATCCCCCGGTCCCGTTGCGAGGCTCGCTGCAACCAGGATCCAGGGCAGATCTAGCCGTTGTGACGAAGGCCCTCCAGGAGGCCAAGGAGGCCCAAAAAGAATGCCCCCCCGTAAAGATGCTCGTCGTTGTCCTCCTCGTCGCTCTCGTCTTCGTCCTACCCCTCCTCGCATTCACCCTCAAATCGTCGTCGTCTTCGTTGTGGTCGTCCTCGTCGTCGTCTTCGTCGTTTTCGTCGTCGTCGTCTTCGTCCTCATCGTCGTCGTGTTCGTCGTCGTCGGCATCCTCGCCGTCGTCGTCGTCGTCGTCGTCGTCGTCGTCGTCGTCGTCGTCGTCGTCGTCGTCTTCGTCGCCGTGACACTTGCCCCCCTCCTCGTCCTGCCCCCCTCCTCGTCCTCGTCCTCGTCGTCGTTGTCGCCGCTGCCGCCGGTGAGCTCCCCGTCTCTCCTCCCTTGCGTCGCCGTGGCCGGGGGCCTGGGCCCGCGCCTCTGCCGCGGTGGAAGCCTCGTGCAGCCGGGCCACCTCGCGAGGCGAGGGGCGGTCGGGGCAGGGCCTGCCCCCCCCCCATTTCCCTCGTCTCCCGGGCCCCCTCCTCAGAGGTGTTCTCCTCCCGGGAGGGGGGGGACTGGGCGGAGGGGGGAAAGGGGGGAGGGGGGCGGGATGGGAGGGGAGGGGGGGCTGGGGAGGGAGAGGGGAGGAGGGAGGGGGATGAGAGGAGGGTAGGGGGAATGGGTGGGGGATGAGGGGAGGGGGGCGGGGGAGGAGAGGGAGGAGGGGGAGGAAGGGGGGCGCGCTGCCCTTCCCCTCCCCCCCCCCCCCCCGGGCCCCCCCCTGGCGGAAAGGAGGAGGGAGGGGTTGGGAGGAGGGGGGGGAGGAGAGAGGGAGGGGCTAGGTGGCAGTTGGATTTCTGTTTGGAACCAGCAAGGCCTGCGCGGAGCTTTTTAAGGAGGGAAGGATTAAGGGCTCATCAAAGAGGACAAGGGGGAGGGTGTCGAGGTCCACGAGGGGAAGAAGGGGGGAGGATGACACCCAGGTGTGGAGGAAGAGGGCGAGGAGCAGGGATGAGAAGACAAAGACGTGGACGACGAAGGCAAGGAGGATAGGGGCGAAGAGGATGGCAAAGGAGGGCACGAGGATGTGGACGGTTATCTTGAACAGTGGTACGACGGCGAGGAGGAGGAATAGGAGGAGAGAGGAGGAGGACGAGGAGGAACAGTGGAACCGGGCGCATCAGACAATGGTGCAAAAGCCCTTGCGTCAAGCGACCTCGAAAACAAACTACTAATCTTGACAGTGCCCCCCCCCCCTGGGCACGTCGGAAATCTCCAGCCCACGAACGCCGCATAGGATTTTCAAAAACATGTGCGCCGCCCATGTCGACCTCTGGGACGGGCTTAATCGCATCCCCGCCTCCTGGAGCATCACAGCTAGGAGACCTTCCGGATCAGATCTCCGTCGAACTCTGGAAGACCTTGGCAATATCCCAGAAGGCCTCGCCGTCGCCCCCGAAGGGCAGCTTGACGCCCGTCTCGAACTGCCGTCGCCTGGGCGTTGCAATCCGAAAGGCCCGTAACTTGCCAGAACGCATCTTGCACGCATGTATCCGTGTCCTCGAGGCACTCCTGCCCACCCGCACCAGCTCCAGCGCCCATGGTGATCTCGAAGATTTGGTGGGACTCGCCGCCCGATGAGTTACCAACAACCACTCCAACACCCTTCATGCGCACAGCCTTGCACATGCACTAGCAAGCATATCACTCCGTATCGGACACCGCCTTCGAGCCGACGTTGATGGAGTCCACGCCCGTGTGATCGCTCGCGTGGAAAAAAATCTTGGCCCCGCCAGGACTTTGGCTGAAGCCATCTTTGTTCCTTGTGTGAAACCTGCTCGGCATGTCCTCCCGCAGATGCCAAGCGGAGTCGTCCTCGAGACTCTCGCGTGCCCGCGGATCAATCTTCTGCTTGTAGACCTGGCGCTCCGTCGTCCGCCTGTCCACCTGCGGAGCCTCCATAGTGGAGCCCGAGCTCGCGATGTGTAATGAGGATCCCTGCGCTTCAAGCTTCGGGGCTCGTTCAAAGAAGGCGCGGTTCGCCCCCTGGACGGCTTCGGCCACATAGTGCGAAGTGCGAAGCGATGCTCGACATGGTCATCCAAATGCAAGCGAAGGCAGAGAAAGAGGAGGACGATGAGTGACACCAGCCGCAAACAATGAAACATAAACTCAACAGAGACGGTAAATACCAAAACTGTCGTCCACCATACGCAATATGATAATGATGCTATACCGAGCTACGGGAGATGAGGAGGAGGAGAGCGAAGGATGAGGAGGCTCACGTTTTGTTGGACTGGGGGGTTAAGGGTGTTGAGGCGTTGCCCGAGTCGCCGTATGACTCTGAGGGCGAGGCGAGGCGATATATTACACAATCATGATCTCAAATTGCAGCTCCCCGCTGATCAGCCTAGCGACCACGACGGAATACTACTTCACCAACCTCCGTCAGGTCTGCCGCAGTGCCTTAACTTGTGTTTTCTGTTGGATCATTTTTTCTCAGCAGCAATCTTGAGACGACGTTCGCCAGGTATTCGTCGTCAACCCCCTCGAGTGGAAAGCCTCCGAGGTCTCTAAAGACAACGCAACTAACAAACACGCCCACACAATTCAACCTGTGATCCTCGAACCTCCCTGACCGCCCACGCCGTGAGTTGTTTCTCAACGCGGACTCACAAAAATCTCGAGCACCTCCCCGGCGATGGTGTTCCATCCTGGCTCGTTGTTTTATAGTCCCAGGGCCCAGAAAGTCGGCAGCCCTAAAACGACGTACGCGCCCAGCCACGTACATGAGCATGCTTCCCAATGCGGGAGGCCGCCCTCATGCCACGAACGCTCGAGTAATGCGCTCTCTCATGTGGGAAACCGTGGAGCGTATCTTCATCATGACCTCTCGCACCTCTGAAGAGCAAGCCCCCCTCCCCAAAGCCGAACGCGGCCCAAAGCCTGCCGCCGTGATCTTCCCAAGACGCGAGGCGGGCAGTGCCGACCCCCCCCCCCCGAGGGCGGGCGGCGAGGAGCCCCCTTTGGCGGCACGCAGAGGGGGACAGGGCGAGGGGGGAGGGCTTCGTAGAAGGGGGCTGCTTCTTAGAAGGCGCCGGCCCTCCGTCTGCAGACAGGACAAGGCCCACGTGTTCTGCGAAGCAGGGGTGCTTCTAAGAAGCCTTCCCCCCCCCGCCCCCGAATTGCCCCCTTCATGCGCGCCGCCGGCCCCCCCCCTCCCCCGCGGAGGGCCTCCGCCTCGAGGACCTGCTCCCGCAGCCCCGAGGCCTCCAGCGCCTCCCGGCCGTGGGGCTCCCGAGATGGCGGTCGGTCTCGCCTCCTCCTCCTCCTCCTCCTCCTCCTCCTTCCTCCCCCCTTCCTCCTCCTGCAAAACCCCGAGGAGGGTTCTGCACGGGAGCTTGGCGACAATGATAACGATAGGTCACCTTTATACTCCCGAACTGCGCAACTGGTCGATGTGACTTCGACCGTTAAACACTTGAGCCAAAGGCAGCGGGGTTACTATTCCTCCCCTGTCACACGCATGCTTGCATGTTAACACCCCCCCTCGGACGCCAGTCCGCATTGGCTGACGGGGAGGTGCATGTAAACACAAAGACAGGTTAAATCAAGCGAAAGGCTGCGTGAGTATCGTCACACTGCCGAATTCGAAATATCTCATAACCACGTTCACGAGCACCACATCTCTCAGACATGCAACGTGAGCTCAAGTAAACATTCAATCAGTTACGAGTTTAAAAGTAGCATCCAAAGTTCACACGGCAGGCTAGCATTTACATGGTTTTGATTGCTTTCGATTTTTATGCGCCAATACCTGCGGTAACTATAAAAGATGCACATGCAAATAGATTCAGCTCAATAGTCTACTGCAACACTATTGTTAAGCCTGGTTGAGAGGGGAGACGAGAGCGAGCGTAAAAGAAAGACATGCCGGTCACCTGTCACCGTTTACGACCGGCGCGGGCGCCTCACTGACGGAGCACGCGCGCCCCTGGACTGCGGTAAACCACGGTGCCCCACGCTGGCCGCCGTATAGGACGACACCCTGTTAAGGGCCTGCGTCGGGCTGTAATAGTCGGTGTCCAGGTACGCGTTAATGCGCTCCTCGTCGTCCAACCAGCACCCCTCGTCAAAGCTCTTGGTGGACCCGTCAACAATATTGTGGTAAGTACCAATGGCCCTCCAGTAACTGGCGTGGGGAGCCTTCAGCAGAGGTTTACCACCTGGATTGTTGCGGAGGTGCTCCTCGACCGCAACTCCGGTAAACGGGTTCACAGTCCAGTACGGGTCGGTAAGCCAGTTGGCAAAGTCGTCACACGGCAACCACCCAAACCAACAGAGCTTCTCGCGGTGGTCACTTTTACGCTCGGTAATGTGATCCGCAGGCCAGTTGTCACGGTAGAGCGCCCTCATGGACCCCTGGTCGTTAAGAGCGACCTCCAGGATGGTCTGGTGCCAGTAAACCGGGGGCTTGTTGATGCTGCCCTTTAACTCCTCGGCGCTCCTGACCTCGAGATCCTCGATGAAGTAGTTGCGGTAATACACCTGGAGCCCGTTCATGCAACGACAATAGAGCTCGGCGAGGTCGTGCGTCGCAAACCTGATCACGGTAACCCCAGTTGAGATGTAGCCGTGCGGTCCGTAAGTGTCTTCCACCAGGTGCTTAACGGAGACCACGGTGGGGTTGCCGTGGGGCAGCATCCCGGCCCACGTTAGCAGAAGGCCGTTAAGCTGTTTCTCGTTCATTTCTGGCGCCTTGTTGACGTAGACCTGTGTGTCTGGGCAGCTGTGAACGTCGAACCACACTGGGTGGAGATCGTTAACGTGAATCGGCGGCACGTACTCGTCGTCGAACAGGGATTGTACGTGCCCGACCGCGTCAACCCACTCGTCGTGCTTTTCCAGCTCCTTCTCCGTCAACTGAGACCTCCAGCTGCTTGGGCCCTTTAACACGGAGTAACCAAGGAAGCCGTAGGCGTGCTGCCCGTAAATGTCGACGAACACCTCATCGTAGTCGTTGAGTTCCCGCCCCGTGTTGCCCGGAATAGATCGACCACCTGGAGTCGTTAACCCCTCTTTTGCCACATGTCCGACGAAGTTGCCTTCGAACCTGCGCCAGTTGTCGCGCGTCTTCATCGTTAATGCGACTACCTCCCTGGGGTCGGGCTCCACCTTGTAGTTGACGTCGTGGTCCTCGCTCTTGTCGTTTACCATAGGCATGCGGCCGTTGACATGATACAGTGGCCGGTACATGCCCCTGGCGACGTTCCGCGAGTATGCCGCAAGCTGCTCGTCCGTACGGTTAACAGCTTGAGGCTGCGGTGGAGGAACATACTGGGTCGATAACTTCTTGGGCACCGGAGGCGGGGGATTCATGCCGCTAACACTGCTTGATGCACCTGACTCTCCAAGGCCTGGAGGAGGCGGCTTGGGCGCCCTCGCTTTCACCACCGGGGCAGGGCCTTTTGCTGCTTCGTCACGTTGACTGCCCTGTGCACGATCTTCATCCATCTTCATTCCCAGCTGCAGTAACTCTTCCAATTCCCGCTTACGCTCATGCATGGCCTTGGGTGCCTTCTTGTAAACAGGTTGAGGTGACGTCGACTGTGGGATCTTATTCGGCGACACGGATCGGCCGAACCCTCCGGTCTTGGGCGTGGTGCCGGTAAAGCCCTGAGCCGGGGGTGCACCCGATGCTGCGGCAGCTCGGGCTAGAGGCTGGCTGGCCCCGGCCGTCGCGTTGACTGCAGTGGGAGGTGCCTTGGCGACCACTGCTGTTGGGGGCTGCTCGGGTAACGGCGGAGGAACCTGCGGGATGTTGGTAACCGGGGAGTTGATCGGGTCATGCAAGAACCTCTGTAATCCTTCCAGCCTCTCCGTTACTGCCACCAACAGGCGTAGCGCCGCATCACGTTTACCCTCGAAGTCCTGCAGGGGCGTGATGTTATCGGTAAGGCGCTTGGCGGTGTTCAGGAGGTAACCAATGTTGTCGTTGATGCGCCTATACTTGGTTGCATTCTCCTCCGTGTTAACCCCCGAGTCGCGGTTCTGAATGTTCAGGTCCGTAATCGTCGCCATCAGGTCGTTAATCTCCTTCTGCGCCCTTTGGAGATTCTCGTTGACGTCGTCACTGTCCTGGATCAGCGCATCGTTCTGCCGCGTCAACTCCTCGATCCTCGCCGCCATGTCATCCGCGGCCCTTTGCACCTCGTCAACGTGTTTGTCGTAGGCTCCGTGGAAGTTAATCGCCATGTTAGTGAGGGTGACGGTAAACGCGTGGGCAACGTGCACCATGTCGTCAACACGGCGGTTGAGGTTCTCACGCGTAACCGGCCCATCCCCAGCTGGGCTCTGGTCGACCATGGAGCCGTTGATGGTGAGGTTGACCTGGGGAGCCGCCATGCTCTCGTTCACGCTCACGAGTGAGAGGTGATGGGTGGAGAAGGCCTTTAATAGCTGCAGTTTGCTTGACAGAAATGAGCTGCGAACATCAACATTCGATGCGTCAACATTCAGTAGCTGGTGCAATAGCTGCAGTTTGCCTGAGCTGCTGTTCAACATTCAGTAGCAAGCTCATGCCTGCCTGTTAATGCACATTGATTCGTGTTTCGTAGATGTGTGCTCATGCTTTCACGACTGACATACTTAGTCAACGCATCTGCTGCATTCTCGTGTGTCCCGACTTTCACAATACGAATCACTCCCTCCTTAACTTTCTGCTGTAACCACAACTGACACACCTCGATATGTCTTACCTTCCCCAAGCCACGTCTGCTTGCGATGGCAATCGCAGCTGTGGCGTCACTCTTCACTGTAATCTCAACTTCCAAGTTAAAGTCTCTCAATACTGCCTGAAGTCCTAAACCCACTGATCCTCCTTTCACCAGTCCGTAATACTCTGCTTCACCTGACGATAACGCAATTACACTCTGAGTCGTGCTCCAGGACTTTATGAGATGTTTACCCCACATCACTACTCCCCCACTCGTAGACTTCCTCGTTCGCTTACATCCTGCGTAATCTGTGTCAGTCCAAATGGTTAACTCTTGGGGCTGCTCCTGATATTGATACACATAGCCGCTTCTGCTGTGGTACTTCAAATACTTTCCTAACTTGACTAAACCTTTCCAAGAGCTCATCGTGGGCTTTGACATGGTCCTAGCGAGTTCCTTTACCGAATACTGTATGTCAGACCTGTCCTGAGCTAAGTAATTTGCTCTGGCCGTCAACGCTTGATATCTTTTAGTCATGTTGGGCGAAAGTTCTTCCTCATCTCCCTCTTCAACTGGAATTCGCTCACCTGGCACTTCAGTCCTCACCTTTACTCCTTCTAGCTCAAGCTCTTTCACAATTATCTCTGCATGCCTTTGATCTGCCTCATACCTCAATCCTTCCTGTGTCCATTCCACAATCCTGTTAAGAATTCTGATCGCTTTCATGTCCTCCTTCCCTGGTCCAAGTCGTCCTCTCACTTTCACTTCAAACTCCTCCTTAATTTTATTTTCAAACCAGTCGAGATCATGATCACCTCCTAACAGCGTGAAATCATCTCCATGAACTGTTAACCATAACGCTCGACTCTCATGCTTGAACACACATGGTGACGCAATTCCGCTCTTGAACCCAGCTTCGTTGGCAAAATCCATGTAACAGTCCTCCCAGTTACTCGCAGCGTCTCTGGTTCCGTACATTGATTTTAACAGCTTTCCGCACATACCTGGTTCATAGTCTTCATCTGGTAACCTGATAAATATGTCTTTCTTTGCTGGAGCGTAAAAGTAAGCTCGTTTGATGTCAATGAATGCTAGCTTTAATCCTTTCTCACGCTCACCGTTCGTGAATCCAACTCCCTCGGTAACTGCCATTGAGAAAAGCAGTTTTTGTGCTTCCAGTGGAGGTGTAGCTGCGAATATGTTCTTTTCTTTGGAGTTGTATTTAACTTGCTGGGCTACCAGCCTTGATCTGTGGTCTGGGCTTAACTCATCTCCTTTGTTGATGTCTATCCATCTGGTTCCGATGGGCGCTTTCCCCGTAAGTTGCCAGCATACTTCCTCTTTCACTTTCTCGTAAACTCTGTGTTTTCTGAATTGCTCCATTTCTGTGCTTTCACAGTCGATTTAGGGTCGAGCTCGTTTCCTGTAACATCATCCCAAGCTTGAATAATCTCTTCGTTTTCTTCGTGGACAACGCTGATCGTGTTCATCGGGAGAGGGTTAACGGTTCCAGTTCTTTCGCACGCCTCACACGTACTAGGCGTCTTGAGCCATCCCTCATGC